AAACGGAAGTAACTACAACTAAAAGATGAGGAAGAGGAAGTAAATGGAAAATCGGAAGTAGAGCGACTCGGCAAAATCGCGCGTGCCAACATAGTCTTTCAAAACATGGTTTGGAATCTCTACTAAAATCTTTGTCCTATTTTTTTGTTCGCGTTTTAGCAGTTTTGTGCACGGTGCACGGTCAATGAACACATTGTAATTCAGTATAATGAACGATCGAATCATTCAATAGCAAAGTATCGTTTCAATCATTCAACCATACTATTTAAATAGTAAGAAACCTAAAACAAAAGATGTGCACGGTGTAATGTATGGTTTAACATAAAATCCCAGCTCACTAAAACCTCTTTGAAGTTTACTAAATTTTCAGACCATGTCTCGAAAGACTATGGTGCCAGGTGGGGCCAAGCTAGTGAATACATATTGAAAACCATGGCAGAAGAGAGACAGGGCAGAGTACCAAATATTCAGTATTTTGTTCAGGCAATCTTAAGCGCGGTGACCAATTTGCAGCATTCTTCTCAAACAGGTGAAGAAAATGCAGTATCACAAGATGGCTCATGCAGTGCAGCAGTTCACATCGTTGCCCGAAGAATTGAATTCTCGTTTTCGAATACCACGCATTCAGAATTCGTCTGTACCAAATAATGCAGACGTGTATAATTAATGTGTGTATGATTCGGTGATTCGTATTGTTAAAACACTCAATGTGCGTTCATACTCTTCTAATGTACGACAATAAAAGACTGGAGAGTCACAATGAGTGCGACTTTGTTCAGCATTTCTTATTCAATCAACCAATTCACGAAAAAAGTTTTCTGTATTAGGAAGCCAAATGGGTGGCCCAAGAGACGCCATTGTTGTATGTCGGCGCTCAACTTCCGTTTTTCCGATTTACTTCCGCTTCCTCATCTTTTGTTGTATTTACTTCCGCTTCCTCATTTTATTTGTATTTACTTCCGTTTCCTCATCTTTTAGTTGCACCGGTTTATCTTTTGGTTGTATCGGTTTATCTTTTGGTTGTATCTAGATCTGTCTATCGTTTAGTTGTATCGGTTTATCTTTTAGTTGCATCGGTATATGACATTGATGTATTTGCACATAACATCCATGCATAGCACATAACATCAATTTATAGCGCTTAAACTTGATTGATACATTTCAGATATTTTGTCCGCTAAAAATCTTCATATACTGAGACCACGATGCCGCAATGGAAAGTCACACTTGCGACAACCAAAAAAACTCCGCAAAAGACAGCATTTCCAGCATTGGCATTCTATGACACTGGCTGCAGCCAGTGTAATAAATTTTTCATTCAAATTTGTGTACTGGATCTAAAGCGACCTTAGCAGATCGCTGTTCATCGTATGAATGTCACATTGGTAAGTGTTAGAGCTTCTGGAAACTACAACAGACAAAAAATAACCATTTTTACGATAAATAATAACATTTGTCGCTGACTATTATTTTGATTGACAAGTGTCTTTTCTTATATTATGCTGAGTTTTGGACGCGCTGATTTTTGACATCTACGTACCATAACTCACCATTCAGTGGTTTTCCAGGGGAGGGGAGGCGGGGTGGGGGAATTGGGCGTACCCACAAGATTTGACAAGTATCAGTTTCCTGTGAGTCAGAAACACGTCATCAGAGGTTTTTCCCAGGTTTTTAGCCTTTTCTTTGTTGTGAGGCCCGAATGTCGAGTTTACAAGATGATTATAAATGACGATTTTACAATTGGTTATTACGCAATCGGAAACCATGAAGCGTTTAGATAAATAACAATATTATTTAAACGGGGGATTTCTTCAGTGTCGAAACACTGGTATCAATGGAAGCTCGACTATTACTGGAAGAGAAATTGCTTGCGCAACAATTAATGCTGCTTAGTTTGTCATTGATCGTACTTACTCGAGGCTGGTTTGTCAACGAGTTTGTAAGTCAATATAAATCCACTTCCAGAGCCACTCCCGTCCGTTGTAAAATTAAATGAGACATCACCATCATTGTAGGTATCCGGGCTGCCGGGAGATGCACCACACTTGAAGTCAAATCCACTGTTGTCCGCAACCTCCAACTTGTCTTTCGTGCACTGGTTAGTTCCGTCTGTAAACAAAATATTTAAAAAATTACAGTTAGTTTGAGTAACAACGACAGCAACGATCAACATAAACAGCCAAAATAACAAATTCAGCATCAGTAATTGCAACAGAACGACAAAATATTCAACAAAGCAACAACAACAGCAAGAACAATAGCAACATCCAGCACAACAACATCAACAACAGCAGCCGCGGCATTAACAGCAACAAAAACCATAAGAACAACGCTGTTACTCACTACTTGATATGGATATTATGCATCGCCTGCTATAACTTCACGATCAGAATAATGTAAAAAACTAATTCCGAAATTGTTCGAAACCTTTATTTGGAGTTTGTCCCTAGCCAATGGCGCGGAAGGCCGTTTCGGACATAAGCCTGGGGTTATGGTACTAATTCCGCCCTGTTAATTATACTCGGGTATGCGGAAACATAACGAAGTTCAAAGTTGTCCATTTTGTTTATGTCATGGACGGTTTTCGACGTTATGTGCATGCGTGAGTGCAAGGCTCTGGCTAAACTATGAAATACGTGCATGCAGCAACCCCTCTCCCTTCTTAACACATGAAGTATAAATATTCCACATAAAGTATGAAGACATTAGCTACTGAAGTCGACGGCACAATAACGATTAAATTATTAAAAATATCAACATCAAAACATCAAAAAAATTATTTAATACAAACGTTGTTTCACAGTCACTAATTCTTGAAAGTGCAGGCTTATTTCCAGTTAAAATCGAAGAAAAAAGTTTTATACTTTTGTAAAGTTTTTAACAAAATTTAAAACAAAAAATTCACTGTAAAACAGCAAAATACATTCTTTCAAAATGAAAAACAATTACTTAGACAGAGCTTGTACTCGCGCATGAGCATAACGTCGAAAACCGTCCATGACATAAACAAAATGGACGATAACTTTGCACTTGCTATGTTTTCACGTACCCGGGTATAATTAGCCGGTCAGAATTAGTACCCTCGCACGGCACATCGCACCGTCGGCTCGGGAATAATTGTTTTTCATTTTAAATGAACGTATTTTGCTGTTTTACAGCAACTTTGTTGTTTTAAATTCCGTAAAAAAGTTTACAAAAGTACAAAATGTTTGTGTTTTCGACTTTAACTGGAAATAAGCCTGTAGTTTCTTGAATTAATGGCTGTTCAACCGTGAAACAAAGTTTGTATTAACGAAGTGGCTATTCGTACTGGAGTATGGCACCCCCGATTGTTACATTTTGTAAATTAGTATACTAAAAGTAGTTTTTTGCCGCTAACGTATTCGGCAATTGGCGCTGTGTGCGTGCGAAGTGAAACGAGGTCTGGTCCGATTTAGTGTTAACCGTCGGTTTTCTGTTTGACTTAGAAATTTTTCTTGAAATATTTTGAAATTTTTCCCCCCACTTTTTTACCCTCAAATAGTTTATTAGACATTTATTGGTTAGGATTAGAGAAGGGTTGATGTGGAGTTTTTATACTTCATCTGTTAAAAATCGAAAGCAGTAATATTAAGTTCACTTAAAAACTCATTTTAATATAATCCATAAAAAAATTTAAAAGAAGTGAATGTTTAATCAATGTTTGTAAATTCACAGGGGGCAGAAAAGTACAAGTGTTTTATAAATACCTTGTCATCAACCAATATCGCATATCTATAACACAACAATCCGCACACAAAGTCATAAAAGGATAAAAATTAGCTGATTTTTATTTTTTCGATAATATCATGCCTTCTACTTCATGTAATTCAAACATCATTGACAACGACAATTTCATAACATCTTACGAAAGGATGCCGAGGGTGCATGTAGCCCATTAATAAATAAGAAAGGGATGAAACGCCGAAAATCTTTCGTTCGATGTGCACCGCAACAACTGGTGACGGAAGTTAATTAATTCGACATTGTAACCGGAAGTAGAACGGAAGTTAAAGGGAAATTGACCTTTCGCCTTCCATGACCTTTTAATCTAACTAACGGTTAATGATTTTGAACAATTAACAAATTTAAAAAAATACTGCGAAATTCAAAATCAAATATGGAACGTTTTCTTACAAAAAGAAATGCGAATCACCCGGAAGAATTTGTTTCCAAAAAAGCTAAGTTTTCTTGAAAAGCAACAAACGCTATTGTATCTAGATGGCAAGCTTTTCACTAATTTTGAAACAGTTGTTCTTGAATCGATCAACCGTAAATATGTTCAAGACTTTAAAATTTGTCCATGACTGTACTCCAAACGGCAGTCTTTACACAAACTGGTCACGATTTAAACTCGTCTTCGGCGTGTGTGCAGACGTACGATATATCAATAGACTATTTAAATTCAAAAATAAACTATACTTCTGGGACGAAAAAAATTGCAGTACAGTTTAATAAGCTCTGAAACGGTTTCGTTAATTCTGTTAATATAGACCTATTTGTAGTAACACCGGTGCAATTTGGCTTGTATTTTGTAGGCTTTTTATGAATTACCAAATAAATGACAATTCGTTTATCGCAACAGTGTCCATATTTGAAAGTTTTCAAAATAGCTGCCCAGATATGGAAAATGTCAACCTAACTGCAAGTGAGCTCGGAATGATAACAAACCAGGTATTTCCCTCGGCAGTCTGAACGCAAAAGTGGGTCAACGGAAAGTAGGTCAACGGAGAGTATGGCATTATCCTTTGTCAAGAGTTGGCAAGATAGTTGATATAGAGTCCGATCGCATCGAATGGGAAAACCTTGGTTGGCATTTGCCAAATAGAAATGATAATTTTGTTTAGTGAATAAAGATTCCGTCCCAAGATTTATACAACGGCAACAGGGTACTAAAAGAAGTTAAAATCTTTAAGGATTGGACTTTTGTAGTGCGAGTGAATAATCGTGCCATTAAGAAAGAAACACTTTGCATACAAAAAATGGGGCCTTCTCGCAAAATAATTAGTTTTCTGTTCCGTGTGCTAGATGAATTCACTATATGCAAAGGTTTTCCTGTCGATTCAAAGTTTATCATCAGAGATATCAAAGAAAACGTAAATGGAATAACTGAACAATGGCGTATTCCTGCTAATGACAATGGGGCTGTCGAAGAAGGCCACCGATCCGTTTTATTCCACCGCTCTACTGGATGTAATGGTTTACATCAAGCTAACTACAAGCGAAGTTCACAAGCGTTGTGTGACCACTGCACTTTGCTAAAAAGAAATTCTTCAGTCCTACCACAAAATAATGAATTTACAGAAACGAAGAGAGAGCGTTACATGTCGGGAGCGGAATTGAAAGAGAAAATACGACGAGAGCAGTCTCGCAGATAAAGTGTAGAAAGAAGAAAAAAATATTTGCAAAACAAATTTGAAAAAGATATGAAAACATTCGAAGACGAAGATCACGAGGACATCCTTTTCATGTTCCAAAAAGTCAAAAAAGATTCTTTAAGTGACGACATGAAAATATTCTTTGAATGGATAAGCGCTGGTGCAAATGAATCCGAAAGGCAATAGGTGGCACCCAAAGGAGGTTGTTATAAATATACAATATCGCTGTGACAGTCATTGATATATTTATGCATGTTTAGTAGACGATAGTTCCACTCGGTATAATAATAAACTCATAAGCAATTTAATAAGAAACTATAAAATAAACGAGAAAATAACACTTTTTTTCTTCGATAAATAAACCTTTTACGATAAGTTTTCGAACCACGAACACGCTCTCGTCCCAGTACTTTTGCTCGTCCAAAACACTAATTATTTTAATATGAATGTAAACAATACATATAGTAATAGTTGTCCACTCTCCTTAACATTCCCCCTCCCCGCACTGGGAACATCAAGTTCAAGTGCGAATAGAAATATATATATCAACTGACAAACGTTTCAATAAGGGAACCAACTTGTGTATTGGTCGCATCAGACTTTTGTCCCCAATTTGTACTTGAGCAACTCTGTTGTGTCCATCCTTGCCTGGAAATTTATTAAGAATTCTCCCCAACGGCCACTGTCCTCGAGGAAGATTTGGCTGCACAATTAACACAACGTCATCGATTTGCAAATCCTTGACCACTTGTGTCCATTTAGGACGGATAGTAAGCATCGGTAAATACTCCTTCAACCAGCGTCGCCATACCAACGATATTAGATGTTGCACTTTCCTCCACCGTTGCTGTGGATGAAATCCAGTCGTTTCTTCAGCTTCAGGGGCAAACTGACCACCCATCTGGCCATAAAGGAAGTGATTTGGAGTCAGCGGGATTAAGTCACGAGCATCGGCAGACTGATACGTTAACGGTCTGGAATTTATAAGACTCTCAGCTCCGGTAAAGATGGTGATCAATTCCTCATCATTGACATCACTGTTGATTAATACTGCGTATATCGCTTTCTTTGCAGCCTTTACCATTATTTCATGAGCTCCCCCGAAGTGTGGGGCGGCAGGTGGGTTGAACAACCATCGAACTCTCTTATCTGAAGTTTTCTGTTTGATTTTCTCTTCGTCTAACTGACCAGCAAGCTCCTTCAGTTCGTTTACCGCACCAACGAAGTTAGTACCATTGTCACTTACAACCTCCTTGGGTACTCCTCTCCTGCTTTTAAATCGAGCGAATGCATTAAGGAATGCATCTGTGTCCAACGACCATGCCATCTCCAGGTGTACAGCTCTGACTGATAGACATGTGAACACGCATAGATACCGCTTCTGTCTCTTTCGACCGCGACCCTGAATGGTAATAAACGGACCACCAAAATCAACTGCACATTGATCAAACGCCGGATAGGTGAATCGCAATCTCACACCTGGAAGCGGGGCCATCACTTGGCTGGCTGGCTTATTCCGTCTTCTTCTGCAACCGTAGCACTGGTTTTCCCAATCTCGAATTTCCTCACGTGCCGCAATGATCCAAAATCTTTCACTCAGTTGACCGAGAATGAAATTTACTCCAGCTGCATGGTTCGCTTTCTCGTGGTAATGTTTTAATATCAATCTCGTAGCCCAATGTCCTCGTGGCAGGATAATTGGACTTCGCACGTCATACGGTAGTTGCTCTGCGAAACTGAGACGCCCTTGTGATCGGATAACTTCATCTGCATCAATT